ATATATAACAAGATTATAAAAAAGCTGTGCAGTTATTCAAGCGATGTGCAACTGAGTAGGATGACAATTATAAAATGCACACAATGTGTACTGAACTTTAAAAACACAATAAACTATTTACAACACAGTGCAGATATAACAGATGCTGAGCTCAAATTTGATGTGGTTGTAGCTGAGACTGATCTCCAACCTACATTTTAAGCACAACTTCTTTAACTGTTGGCAAAATATCTGATGAACCACTGAACACATTTTATTGAAACTTAAGAAAGTAATCATTTGATGTACGTCTACAACTGGAGGTGTCAAAAGTATTCACATTCATTACTTAAGTAGAAATATAGATACTAGGGTATAAAAGTACATTTTTCAAAGTAAAAGTATCAAATCAAGCTTTTTGCTCAAGTAAAAGTGTAAAAGTACCGGTATTAAAACTACTTAAATTCTAAAAGTAAAGTAATGTAAAGTGCAGAAAAAATATTAAGAATAAAAGGTGAAAAAAGGTGAAATGAGTTTAAGTCTCTGTTAAAAACTCATCTGTTTAAACAGGCATTTGAGTCTGAAGAGCAGGATCATTAGGCCAGCCTTTGCTGTTTTGTTTGATTTTATTGTTCATTTTACATTTTATTACTGTACTTTGTTCATTGTTTTTATTTTATGCTCCTGTACAGCACTTTGGTTTTTATTGTGCTTTATAAATAAACGATGATGATGATGAAATGGACAAAACTAAAAAGCCCCCACCCCGAAAAAAAATAAATAAATAAATCAAATCTACCATAAAAGTCAAAGACAAACAAGAATAATTTTGTCTAGATTGGGACTTTAAATTATAACATAAAAACAATGTAATGTTTGCATTCTTTAAACAAAAAAATAAAAAATAAAACTAACAGTGATGAAATTTCCCTGGAGTAAGAAGGTTCATCTTTCAATGGACAACATAATAATAGTTATATACAAACCAATACACCATAAAAAACGCACGCACGCACGCACGCACGCACACCCACACACACAAACACACACACACAGAGAAGAAATTGAGCCAATTAGAGGTTGGCTCAGAGGAAGACCTGTCCTCTGTATTGATCCTGACAGTGGCTTTCTGGTCTCTAAAAGATTTACAGTGGAAGATTTACTTTGTTAGCCATGACACACAAAAATTAGCACTCTGATTTAAACACCAAGAAAAAGGAAATTCAAAGTGTAACTTATTTCTGTGTGCTCTACTCATCTTATAAGAGCATTTATGTGTCACACCACATTATACTAGCATGCTCTACAAAGATACGTGTGTGTGACTGCATTCTGTGTGACGAGAATGTGTGTGTGTATATTGGGGGGGGGGGGGGGGCATGATTTGTAGCCCCAGTAGAAATCAGCAGCTGAGATGCCGTTATTTTCCATCATCTATCATTTTATTGATTTGTCTATAAAAACAGTCAAACCTGCTGTCCATGAGCTTTATTGCTTTCCCCCCTTTATTAGTTTGCAGTTTGGGACATCCAGAGCTGTCTCTCTCCCAACAGAAAACTAATCATTTTCTTCAGACACCTGTCACCAACCTAACAGACAACACTCCGACAACTGTTGCAATCAATTAGGCCTGGGCGATCCTGATCACTGGAGAGTCACTGCACCATGCCAAAGTCGCGCCGGAAGGGGATTTCATTCAAAAGGACAATAAGAGAAAGAAAACACTATTCTGGGTTGTTTTTTTMTTTTTTTTTTTTTTTCAACAACACTGGGGTGCAACTGACAAATAATTTTTTTTTTAACTGAGGTCATAAAATGACTAAGACCTTTGAAATATTAAAAAAACTAAGCCATTTCAAATACTGAGGTTGAAATTTATGTTTAAGTTGAAAAACTCTAATGAAAATATCAACTGGGCAGCTCCTCAAATGTCCACTAAAGGCCGACACAAAATGAGAATCTGTGTTAAAARGTCCATCTTCCAGGACAAATAAACATGTTTACAAGGTGTAACAAAGAGTCAAGCCAGTTCATGATGCCAGGAATCAGAAAAATGGAAATCTTGCATGCAACCCACCATTTGAAAAGGATAGGAGGGTTTGTTCTATCGAGGAAATCCCACTGCTCAGCCTCTCTGAGAAATTCTACTCTAAATACAGTATGTTGGAAAGGAACCTCCAATCAATTGTCAAACCCTGATTTAAAGAAAAGCAGTTGGTTTTCATGAACAGGATCTCAATGTGTAGTCATTGACATCCTGATTCTTTTGGTATCTTAAAATCTTGACCTTCAGTTGCCACTGGAGCACAGCTAAGTGTAAAAGTAGTTGGGATCAAATTAAGTCAGCTCTTCTCACCAGTAAGTCTGAGGCCATAATTCACAATCAGACAACGATAAAATGCTTTCTAGAACTATACTGACATCTGATTCAGAGATATATGTGAAAGTGTCCTTAAACAGACAATTTTCAAACGGAACAAGAAACCTGTCAGCATTTTGGAAGCTCCAGAGACAATCCAACAATGATCTAATTCAGACTCTGAATGAGAGAAACTGTGTCTTGGCAAAGCCTGCATGTGTTTATAATCATCAGTACATAAGAAGAAATGTACCAGGACTGTAATGTTCCATCCCTATGTCCCACATTAACGGCCAAGCAAATTGTAGCCAGATGCAAAAAAGATGCAATAAACACAATTTATTTACACCTCTCTTTAGTTTGCGGTTTCCCTTCCTTTTCTCTTTCTGATGGCAAAAAAAAAAACTGTCCACTTCTGGGGTGTGCAGCAAATTAAATTTACTGTAGTTAATAGAGTGAGCCTATGCTGCTAAATGTCAATTTTCTGACCAAGGCCTTCCCCTTGGAGAATGATTAGCTAATTTGAGGCAGGGAATAAATGGGCTAATGCAAGACACACACTGATAAACAACCGCAGTTGGACCCCATTCCAAGCTCTTCCCCTGCTTTACATTTTATTGGCTTTATTATCTCCAGGAAAAATGGGTCCCCCTATGACCTAAACATATTTTCATTTCTAATAAAAGGCCCTTGCTGGGTGCCCTCACGTGTAACCCACCCACATACGCATGCCCCCTCACAGCCTCCTTCCTCCATTCGTCCCTCGTTTCATCGTCCAATCCATTATATCGGAGCTCTGCAATTGGCTGGAACCATTTTCCTGGTGAATTATCAATAGAGTAATTATGCTCCATGTTGGGAGCTGGGCTGAAGCTTATCGCCGCTGACCTCCCACTGCGTGCTGGGATATGATCCCTCACCACAACCCATTGGGGTAATTATGTGTCTGGGTGTGAAGCTGGATGGTGTGTTACCTTTATCTGTATTCTATTTCTGTTTTCACTGAAATTTGGACATTAATGGCAGCTACGCGATACCACTAGTGTCAGATACAGGTGAGCGTCTCCAGAGGAATCTGACCCCAGTCGAATCATTATTCATAGTATGCTGTGTGGGGACCAGGAGCATGTGAATACACACACACACACACACACACACACACACACACACACACAC